CCCCAAAACCCCAAAACCCCAAAACCCCAAGATTCTAAATTAAGCAAAATTGAGAGATATTCACAATTAGTATAAATCTAAATTAATCGAATAAGTACGATTTCATAGCAAGATTAGCCTAATTTCCAGCTTAGTCATTCTAATTTTAATGGTTCAGGTCTAGAGTAGCACTTTACTGACATTACTCATGAATTGCTAAGGAGAGAGGGGTTTAAATTTAACGTCCCTGCTGAATATTTACTTAAAAATAATGAGCAGCTTAAGTAGAACTCTAAAATATTCTTTTGCATGCTATGTTTTAATGTGCCAAATAAAGACAACGCCAGTTTCTGCTCAGTATGCCGCAGACCGGTATGTCTAAAATGCTATGAGGACATTTTTTAAGGTCATGAAGATTCAGTAACTTATAAGATGCCTTGCCTATGTGTTAATTCCCAAAGAGTAGATATGATTGAACTCTTTCATCAGCAAAAGAATGATTTCTTGAACTTGAAATTCAAATGTTTCATTTCTCCCGATTGCACTAAAATTTTGAGCTACTAATAAATGCTCAACCCAAATGACCATATTTAAGACTGCGAGTATTCCATATTCAGATGTAAATATTGCAAAATTGTTAAGTCCAGAAAAGAAAAAATCAAACATAGATTTGAATGTGAAGATGCCCCAAGGAAATGCAAGCATTGTGCAAGAGATGTTAAAATGTTTAGATACAGTGAGCATTTAAGATTAGTCCATCCTGATATTGAGAATGAAAATAGCAGAGATGCCAATAATTAAGGAATTTAATAATAGGATGCAATTCAAATTGATACTTCTCTAAATAGAGATGGAAGCAATTAGAATATTTCAAGAGAATAACCTTATAAAAGAGCAAAGATGAATGATGATGATTATGTTAATAAAGAGGATAAGAATGGTCCAACAAAATACCAATAGTATATGTAAAGTAAAATAACTTAAAATAATATTGAAAAACAATTAATAGAAATTGATTCTAGCAACCAACTCACTAATTAAAAAACAAATTAAGAATTCAGAAGGGATAAGTTTATCTTAAAAGTAAAGATAGCAAGTAGGTTTAATTTGAAGAAAAAATAGAACCAATTGATAAAAAAGTATTATTTATACAGAAATCTTAGTCGAATTCAAAGGAGATTATAAAATAAACTGTAGATGAGGTTGAAAGTAAAATTAATGAAGAGATTATAGTTGGTAGTGATGTGAGATCGATTTATAGCTATGAAGAATTTGAACAAGAACTAATAACCAAAAAAAATGGTAGAAAATGATATATTAAAACTTTGAGAGTTGAAATTTTAAGGGAATTTGAATAGAATATAGGATTTAGAGACATGAAAAACTAAAATTATTTGACCTTCATTTTTGATTTCTTAATTTTTCTATTAGAAAAATGCTGTGGGTATTTACTCTAACGGGGTTTTGGGGTTTTGGGGTTTTGGGG